CAAGTTCCGATACATGAGCTTGCAGACAGTCACACAGTGGGGGTGAAACAGAGATACAGTTCTAAGATGAGGTTAAGGAGGAGTTTGAGGACAGAATGTTTGGTAATCGAATCTACGCCAATCTCTTACAATAGGAGTAAAGCAACATTTATATCAGAGATACCGAAAATAGAATTAATAGAAAAAAGTTTGAACAAAGAAAGAAGAAACATTGGCGCAGAATAATCTGGATCCATTTTATTTCGTTGTGTACAATTTTAACAAACCTTTGTCCATTAGCAAGCATAGTGTCAGAGCGTCATAGTAAAATAAGGCGCTAAGATTTAGAGGGTGTCTAAAGTGTCACAACATATATATATATATATATGCATCTTGGTAGAGAGACGTTTCTTGAAAAAGTTAGTTAACAGTTGTGTTCTTAAGGTGGTAACAAAAGACAGTTAGCAATAGTTACGTAACTAGATAAGAGAAGATCAAAATTCTAAAATTACGAAACACATGAGGTCAGATGAGAAGCTGATGATGTAATACAGTGAGCAGAACTCAGAAGATCAAGAAAAATTATCTCTTAAGAGAGTCAAGCGAAACATAAAGGTGGCTGGTGGAGTGAAAAGATAAGTTAACAAAAATAACAAAATCCCGAACAACCTCTTCACTGGTGCAGTCAAAGATTGATAAGTACTCCTCACATGTTACCTCCAACTGTGTATACCATTTCACATGTATCTGTGGGAGCAGTTACATTGGAAGAACAGAGAAGAGGGCCTACGTCAAATTCTGCGAACATGTTCCAAGGAGCCTCCGGTTAAACGGACCGAATTGTTTAAGCTCTTCAATCGCAAAACACCTGATTAACACAGGACACCGAGTAGATGTGGTGGAATCATTCAAAATAATTAACACACGAAGTACCTCAAGTCTTCTCAGGTTTGCTGAAGCTATAGCAATAAAACGATTGAAGCCAGACTTAGGTATCCAAAAAGAATCCGTTGTTGGACTTCAGTTACCCTGGTAACTCACGTCTTGGTAACTCTTTGTTTTCTAATTTTGTTAATTTGTTAGCTTATCTTTTCACTCCACCAGCCACCTTTATGTTTCGCTTGACTCTCTTAAGAGATAATTTTTCTTGATCTTCTGAGTTCTGCTCACTGTATTACATCATCAGCTTCTCATCTGACCTCATGTGTTTCGTAATTTTAGAATTTTGATCTTCTCTTATCTAGTTACGTAACTATTGCTAACTGTCTTTTGTTACCACCTTAAGAACACAACTGTTAACTAACTTTTTCAAGAAACGTCTCTCTACCAAGATGCATATATATATATATATGTTGTGACACTTTAGACACCCTCTAAATCTTAGCGCCTTATTTTACTATGACGCTCTGACACTATGCTTGCTAATGGACAAAGGTTTGTTAAAATTGTACACTTTTTATTTTTAATTTAAAAAAATTCAGGTTGTACGCAGCTGATGAGAACCAACGAAATAAAATGGATACAGGTTATTCTGCGCCAATGTTTCTTCTTTCTTTCTTCAAATTTATAAAAGGGAATCATTGTAAGAAAAAAAGTGTAAAAAAAAATAGCCGAAGTGTATCAACAAAACTTGAAAGTTGGTACTATTATGGGTCTTAAATTGTATTTGAAACATCTTCAGTTAATAATACTGTATCACTGTTTCACCACACAAAATTACTCTGCCACAGTGCCAGAATCATGTTCTTACACAAGTATGGTAGACTAAATATCAATTAGGCAGAAGTGTGCGCCAAGTGTAAATAAAATATGTAGAGTGAAGATCATATCTGTAACAAACTTTTGGACTGTTAACTCACTGTTAGGTGTGAAACAACTTTAAGGTGAGAAAGTCGCGTTTTATTATCATTATTACCTGACTTCAATACTGATATTCAGTAGTTGGTGATGGCTGATTAATGTTCATGGTTAAAACATTTTTCTATTCTCAGGCCTACTCGCATGGATTTTTACAAAACTGTAATAAAGTCAGTTGAGGTGTATCATTTAAAAAATGGAGATCAGTGGCGTTCTTAAGCAATAAAATATGTTTTTTAAAGAGACTAATTCAACCTAACCTGCTGTCAATAGCCAGAAGGATAACTTCATTGTTTGAAGTTTACTCATCTGACGCCATCGAACAAACGCAAAACACGAAGTTTGTCCACCAATCATTTAAGCTGATCTACCCCCGGAAGCACTGAAAGCGGACCCGGAAACGACAGCAGATATGCTGACGCCATTATTGCAAAAGATCTGGAAAGAGGGAAAGATGCCTACTGACTGGAGGAAAGGTTACCTAGTGAAACTACCAAAGAAGGGCGATCTAGGACTCTGCAAGAACTGGCGAGGAATCATGCTCCTGTCGACGCCAAGTAAAATCCTGAGTCGCATCATCCTGGAGAGAATAAAGGACGCACTGGATACAGAACTCCGACCAGAACAAGCTGGATTCAGGAAAGGCAAATCATGTTCTGACCAAATTGCAACTCAACGCATTATTATCGAACGAAGCATGGAATGGCAATCAAATCTCTACCTCAACTTTATAGACTTTGAGAAGGCCTTCGACAGCGTTGACCGCGAAGTAATTTGGAAACTACCCGATTACTACGGCGTACCCCAAATATTCATCAACCTTATTCAACAGCTGTACGACAAGGTCACATGTCAAGTGATCCACAACGGAAAACTCAGCGAGGTGTTTGGAGTAAACACAGGAGTCAGACAAGGGTGCTTATTATCACCAATGATATTCCTGATTGTGGTGGACTGGATTATGCGTCAGACAGTGAGAAACGAGAAGACAGGGATATTCTTGACCGACGTGAAGAACCTAGAAGACCTGGATTTCGCAGATGATTTATGTTTGATGTCACACAAAATCGAAGACGTACAAGCGAAAACCGACAAGTCGGTCGAAGACGCAGCAAAGACAGGACTCCAGGTGAACATAGACAAGACGGAGGTTATGAAAATAACCAACCAACAACAACAACAGCAGCAGCAACATCCAGCGCCAATCACCATCAACGGGAGGGATTTGAAAGAGGTTACTTCTTTCACTTATCTAGGGAGCATTGTCTCAACCACAGGAGGAACGGACGAGGATGTCAAATCGAGAATCGGGAAGGCGAGAAACACATTCATCAACCTGAAACTAATCTGGAAATCTTCGTCACTCAGCCTGCATCAACAACAAAGTGATTCGGATTTTCAATACAAAAGTCAAGTCAGTCAGTTCTTCTATACGGATCAGAAACTTGGCGGGTCACCAAGAACATTTTCAACAGGTTGCAGACCTTTATCAACAACTGTCTTCGTTCTATACTGAAGATTAGATGGCCGGAAAGAATCACAAACAAGAAGCTATGGGAACAAACAAAACAGGAACCAATCGCCCAACAAATATGCAGGAGAAAGTGGAGATGGATTGGACACTCGCTGAGGAGGCCGTTGGGTGACATTGCGCGTCAGGCCCTCGAGTGGAACCCGAAGGTGAAGCGGCGAGTGGGACGTCCAAGGGTGACGTGGAGGAGATAGTGTGATGAGGAACTGAAACAGTATGGATTAACATGGATGCAAGTGAAAAGTACAGCACAAGACAGAAGCAAGTGGAGACGTGCAGTTGAAGCCCTATGTTCCAGTAGGAACCCAAGGGAACAATAATATAATAATACATGATGAATGACACCGTTGTTCGCTAATTGGTCGTCTTATTCGATTACTTTATCATTCCCTTATCTGACTTTGATGTTGCTTTCAACTTCTATGTTGATGCTTTTCAAAGTACTTTTTTACTAAATAGATATTATCAAAGCAGAATAATTGCTACTCAGATATATTTGACTTAAACGCCTAGGAAATCTCTGTGGTTCAGTATACTATTTTTCACTAATTCTCGCACTGAGTCGGAGAAATTTTAACCTCAGACTTGAACTAATGCAATTTTTATTTGTCCTTCTGTATCTTAATTTATCACTTTGTCTGGGTGCATTTTTCGTAGTAGCTCAACAACTCAAATATACATATCTTCGAAATAGTAGGGGATTTGGGAATAGGACGTTAAATCACGGGTTTCATATCAAAAGCCATCGTTTATTCAGACATTTTATGCTAGGTGGAATGCAGTATTGTCGGGAACAAACATATCTGTCATTTTTTGAAGTCCATGAAGACCAAAATGAGCCAGTTTTGTTCGTCTGATTCAGTCATATTCTTACTTTTCGTACCAAGAAACTCTATCTAATCGTCAGAAGTGTTAAAGTGGTGCGTAACGTATTGAAATGACTCAGTAAGAACTGTAAGTAAAAACAGATTCGCACCTATAAGTGGCAATTCTGCTGACATGGAATTTTGAAAAAGAACATTCAGAATACCAGTCAAAGCCTTCTAAAAAGAAATAAATCACTACTGTTTGAAAATAAAAATATGGCAAGGTGAAATCATTTAGTAATTTTCATTATTGTCAAGTATGCTTGTTTTAAAGTGACCCCAGAGAAATTTTGAAATTATACCGTCTCACAATATTTGTCTTCTTAATGCCTTATTTACATGTACCAAAGGTTCTTACTGTTCCAACTTTCTTGTTGAGTCTGAAAAAAATCCTTTCCACAAACTTTTGTAGGAAAACCTGTGACCAGCCAAATGCAGTCACAAAAATGAATACTGCAACTCAAAACATATCAGGAATACTGTTCATTAGGGGATGGATCATATTTATTGTGTGACACCTAACCATACTATCCATGTGTTATGTCAACTTTAAGTAGTGGACTCTCAATCAACAATACAGTGACCGTGATTAAAGACCACAAACCAATAAGTTATGTTATATAATGTGGTAACATTTTTCGGAGACTTGTTCACCAGATGAAAATATCATTTCTGATTAGTTGTGCTTGAAGTAAGAGGAATACGGAATAATAAATCTTTGCATTTTTTTCATATAATTTCTGTTTTTTTCCCTTTCAAATGATTTCATGCAATCCTCAAAAGGATTAATGTTTGTATCTGTAAGCACTTTTTTTCAAATAGCCAGTCCACTTATCTGCCTCTTAACTTTTAGCTGCAACTGTCTGTTAGCACTGAAAAAGGTGACCGTTTAACGAAGGAGACAAAACAACGAATTGATCTTTGTGCATTATTAAAGACAACGAAAAAGGAGGTTCATAAGGTAGGTTAATTAAGAAGCAATATTTGATACTTATCAACCTTAATAAATAGCCTTTCCATCCCTTTTCCATAACAATCTGATACGTTCCAGCTTACTCACTGAGAATTGTAAGAAGTGAGTAATTACTATGTGGCACTTTTTAAGCTAAGTTATTAATTTGCTCAACTGCTTCACAGAATGTGGACAAAATGGGTGGATTCAGCAAGAATCCTGTTTACAAACAATACTTTTTTCCAGTGCAACACATATTATTATTGTTGTTTCCTTTAATTCCTACAGGAACATAGGGCTTCAGCCGTGCGTCTCCATTGCGTTCTGTTCTCTGCTAGAGTCTTCACCAGGCTCCAAGTCTGCCCATACGCTTTCATCTCTTCACATGACCTCCTACAAGTCACCCTTGCACTGACGACCAACTCGTCACTTTCCTTTCGGGTTCCACTCGAGCAATGGCTTGTCTAGTGATGTCACTTGATGGTTTCCTCAGAGTATGGCCAATCCATCTCCATTTCTTCCTGCCTATTTGTTTCACAATCGGTTCCTGGTTGGTTCGCCCATTGCCAGAGATCTCTATTGCTGATCTTTTCTGGCCATCTGATCTTGAGTATTGAGCGAAGAAAACTGTTAATGAAGGTCTGTAGTTTGTTTGAGATGCTCTTTATGACGCGCCGGCCAAGTCTCTGATCCGTATAGTAGCACTGACTTCATATTGGAGTTGAAAATCCAAATCTTATTTCTGATACTGAGTGCTGTTGGCCTCCACACAGACTTGAGAGTAGTGAAAGCTTGTCTTGCCTTTCCGATTCTTGCTTTGATATCCTCGTCAGTTCTGCCTGTAGTTGAAACGATGCTTCCCAGGTAGGTAAAAGAGGTTGTTTCTTTCAGGTTCCTTCCATTTGTGCTGATTGTTATCCGTTGTTGTTCTTGTTCAGGAATCTTCATCACCTCTATTTTCTCTACGTTCACCTGAAGTCCTATCTTTGATGCTTCTTCTGCCAACTTGTTGCTTTTCACTTGCATATCTTCCAGTTTGTGGGAAGTCAGACATATATCATCGGCGAAGTCCAGACCCTCCAAGTTTTTTGTGTGAGTCCATTTTATGCCTGTTTCCTCATTTCCCGCTGTTTGTCGCATTATCCAATCTACTGCAATCAGGAAAATCATTGGAGATAGTAGGCAGCCAGCCTTGTCTTACTCGCGTCTTCACTTCGAAGGATTCAGTGAGTTTCTCGTTGTGGATTACTTGGTATGCAGCATTGTCGTACAACTGTTGGATGAGATGTATAATTGCCGTTGGCACCCCGTAGTAGCGAAGTAGTTTCCAAATCACCTCTCGATCGATGCTGTCAAAGGCCTTATCAAAGTCGATGAAGTTGAGATAGAGAGGTAACTGCCATTCCAGGCTTTGTTCAATGATGATCCGTAATGTGTCGATCTGATCAATACATGACTTGTTTCTCCTGAATCCAGCCTGTTCCTGTCGAAGTTTTTCATCCAGAGCATGTTTGATTCTCTCCAGGATGATGTGGCTTAGTATTTTGCTTGGGATAGACAGGAGCACAATTCCGCGTCAGTTCTTGCATTGACTTAAGTCTCCTTTCTTTGATAGTTTGAATAAGTATCCTTTCTTCCAATCTTCAGGTACTTTGCCTTCTTTCCACACCTTCTCCAGTAGTGGTGTCATCAAGTCCGCTGTTGTCTCTGGATCCATTTTCAATGCTTCTGCTGGGATTCCATCTGGTCCTGCTGCTTTTCCAGATTTTAGCATCTTGACTGTCTTCAGGACTTCTGATTTTGTCGTGGGGTTGGTGTTCACTGGTAGCTCTGTCTCCGTTGTTGGTATTGTTGGGCGCGTTGTAGGTGGTGGTCGATTTAGGAGTCTTTTGAAGTCTTCAGCCCAGTGTTTCCTTTGCTCCGCTTCTTTGGTGATTGACTTTCCATTGTCATCCCTCACCGGCTTAATTTGTGTCAAACTTTTGCCCGAAATTTTAGTGTCGCAGCCTATATTGCGACACCAAAATTTCTCAAATTGTGCTAAACTAGAGGAGTTTAATTCAGCGTAAAAACATCCATCAGTTCCCAATTTAGGGATATGGAAGTGCGTGCAGGCCTAAAGGGTTAATTCGTGATGGTGGAATGCGGTCACGTTGAACTGTGAGGTGAAAGGAGTGACTGAGTAATGAGGTGCTCATTGTAAAGCATGTTAAATACGAGTTCTGTTCACACACACTCGTACACACACTTCTGAACTGCTCCAGACTGGCACAAAATACGTGCTCAGCTTTCCATTGTTTATACTAGTTCAGCTCGTGATGTGGATAAACAAAAACACCCTATAACTGTTTTGTACAGATACTAAAACATCACTTGTTCAGCTCATCTTAATAACTAATTATTTATGGCTGTTATTTTCCTGGATAAGAACAAACTGAGAAGAATAAAATGATGCTTAGAAATTTAGGTATTTTTTCCACTGCCCTATCTTTCTTCCCTCTGTAGTCTGGAATCCATCTTTTGACATTTTTGAAGTTCAGTAAATTAAATTATGCCCAGAATCTCCATCATTACACTAGCAATGCTTAAGTCAAACTGTTTTTCTGAGTGAAAAAGTTTGCGTCGCCATAATGACACTATCATTATTAGCTTGTGAAATACCTGTTTTACAGGGAGGAATTTTTTTCTTATTCAGCAGATAAGATCACAACATATGATCAATTTGCATTGTTTGTAGCTAACTCTTCTTATTTTTGATTAGGCGGAAAATTACTTATTGAGTGTATTTCTGTGTGAGTGCTTTCAAATATAACGGCTACGGTATGATGACGAACATAAGTTTGTGAACTAGTGTTGTACTGGTTTAAATGTTTTTATTTGTAAGATTTTGAAGGTCTTAATACCCAGAAAACAATTTAGATTTTGTGTGACATGTCGCTCACTAGTAAATTTGTAGTCAACAACAACAGATATTTATTATCATTTAACACTTATGTAATAGACGTATTCTGTGATGTACAAATCTTAATATCTGTACGGCAAGTACAAGAAAGCTGACTACAGAAGTCGTTTCTGGACTTTCGTGCCTTTAACACTAGTCGTTTTGATAAATATTACTGTTTATCACTACTTATGGCGGGAAATACTGAAATTACCATAGTGTGACGCAGTAATTTCTTCTGTACATTTTTGTGTTGTCCCCTTTCCTGCTTTGAATGGTTTGATTATCCTTCTGGACATCATCTTAGGCGCTAACTTTAAAATGAATACACTTTTAAATCATGGAGAACACCCATCAAGAAATTAGAGCTAAAAGAAGAAGAAGTTCAACAAAGATATCTTTTCGGCGATTTTATTCTCAAAAGCTGTACAGTCGCATTTATATGCATAAGTTTACATAGATACAGTCATTATTTAATTCCACATAATTATGCAAATGGTTAAAGGTGAGAGTAATTCTCAATTTAACATGAAAGTTTGAAGGTGTGTATATGGATTTCAAGGGGCTTAGAAACAAAATATGCAGGATTAGAAAATGATTTTTAACGAACAAACTTGTAAATGGGATGACCATGGAAAAAAATTAAAATAATATTTTATAACTGAAAATGAAAAAAGAAAAGGAACAGAAATAACGGGAATGAACACACAGCTAAGGCTTTTCTGTGCTCATGGAAAAGCATTCTGAAGTAGGAAGAAGTCGGAAACACAATGCCTCTGGTAGATTTTTGTTTACTTTGTAAATGATTCTGCATGATAAGTCAGTTGGAATACTGTGACAGATGTTGGCGACGTGTTCAGTTATGGCTCTTCTGATTCAACTAGTGCCTCCTCTCTGGGTATTGTTCTCTAACACGTTTTGATAGGACCCGCATAGAACGACCTATGTACCTAGCCCCCACACAAACAGGTGAACTGATATGTGCACATTGAAATAGTCATATGTGGAAGTTTATCCTGCTTTTGAGAATGACATTGCCGGAAATATATCTTTGCTGAACCTCTTGCTCTTTTCTTTCTAATGAATTTACTTTATCAATCATTTCATCGAGAAAAAATATATAAAAACTACTGGTATGAATGTTTATATTTTAACTCATCCAGTTGGAATGTCTTGTTTTTTCTAATTACCAGTAATGTGAATGAGAAAAAAGTCTAGCTCGGCTGCTGTAGTCGAAATTCCTACAGATATCAATCAACATGCTAAGTTACCTTTCCAGAATAGATCATGTCAACCTGGAATAGCATTTTAACTGAATCATGAATCAATAAAGTAAGGTATAACAACATTTCTTCACGGAAATATGGTGGATTCTTTTCATTCAAGTGTTAATTTATGCAGTTTATACAAGAATATTTTTTTGGAAGCACAGATGCCAAAAAGTTATCGTGGAAGAGCTTCATAGTGAAACAATATTATTTTCACTATTATTACTGAAGTTTTAACCAGAAATTCACTGTCTGTCACTACTATACTTCAAGCGATTAAGCCGAAAGGTCGTGGAAGTGGCGCCCATTTTCCAATAAGTGGATCTTACCTAAATAATTTGGTTTATGGTGTTACCAGTTCTCTCCAGTAGCTAGCCAGAAATTCAGTCGTATGAGAAGATTTGGCTTTCTGTGTTGAGTCAAACCATGTACATCGCTGATGAGCTAGGCCCCAAGAGAGCGAAACCGCCATCCGGTGTTTAGGTCCCCTCGATCTGGCTAGCAAGCATTACTGGTTGATTTAGTACCACAGAACCCCTCATCTCAAGAAAGCAGTAGCATATAGTTTTATGGAAACCTCACCTTGATTTTTCATGAAGACTTTTGTCTGAATACACCTGATTTAAATGGAATCAGTTTAAGTACTTATTTCTTGATAAACTATGTGTGTCTCATTCTCTGTGTATCTTTTTGTTTTCACAGAAGGTCAACGATGAAATGAATATGCACGCTGAGGTGCTCAATGCAGCCGAGATTTACCGCGTGCCTACAGTGTCAGATTTTATTGATAGTGTCTTAGAGCGTAAAATGTTGGATAGGAAAATAAAAATGCAAAATCGTAAAATGAGCTTAGCCAAGGTAAATTTTATAGTGAGTATTTAGGTTGTTTAAATCATTTCTAAGTAGTCAGTTTTTGATTTCATTTGCAAAGTCAACCACTTATTCTTAATAAGTGAAAATAATAACATGAATCCTATTGTTCCAGGTTGTCGTCCATGTATCTGAGTCCTTTCTGTATGCTTGAAATGTCAATTTTAAATGTCGTTTGCATTTTTAATCTTCTTTTTGCTGTTTGTAGCAGTCACAATACACAAATGATGTATCTTCATCATTGCCTTTGAATAATGAGACGTATATGAAGCCTTGGGAGTTCCGTTGCATGAATAGCTGAGCTATTCTTCTTTTGGTTAAGCTCTAAACAGTAACATTCTGTTAAGCCATTTAGTGACACTGTTTCCTTATCATCCATACATACAGTGAATGAAAATGATCACTGGCTAGGTGAAAAATCCTTAAATTTCGACGGTAATCAACTGACACAGAAATCGCACTTCCCACTATATAATTAACTTGATAATAAAAATAATAAGTTGTATCAGTAACGGTAATGCGGAAGGCTGACTAAGAAGCGGAACGAGTAGTAGCAGTATTTGAAGCAACAAAACTACTTCATCTAGTATTATTATCATAGTAGAAAATAGCTGTCGTTTCCGAAAGCCTTGCATTGCCTTAATTCCAACATTACTATATTTCGTACTGCTTTGAATTTAACAGGGCTAAGGAATACAAAATTAGGTGGGACAAGGAACTAAATAGTGTCAGAAGAACGATATATATATATCAGTTGATTTACTTGCTTAGCCTGAAGCTCAATCAAGGCACCCTAAACATTATTGATCTATTAGTTAATCAGCACGTAGGTATTTTTACGAAGTTGTTAGTAGCCTCTTGAGTTTGTCTGACCGAGTATATCAGAATGCAGCTCTTAACTGCCAAAACTGATGTGCTTGCGTGGGATGTTCACAAACAGCATAACTTGGAAATATGTCTGATATGCTTTTTGTCCTACAGAAATTAGCGACGATTATTCGGCCAAAACATTGTCACTGTTTCATTCCCGTTTTTCTCCTTTTAATTAGATTATGCTAGGTGAACACAAAAGAGTCTGGTCGAAACTGAAGCAGGACACTCTAGCATAACTGGAAAGTGAGTTCTGTTTTTGCTTTTCACTAATTTAGCTTTTTGTTTCAAAAATATAAAATAACCAGCAAAAAACCCACGTTTACTAATTCGCGATGATGAATTCATCGTATGGGAATGTCAGTTAATGGGAAAGGTACCCTGTTAAACTTGAATTCCATACTGGTTGTTTGCCATCAATCCTAATTCGCAGTTAAACGGCCAACTAACAAAACTTATATTTCTTGTGATGTTTTAACTCATTTTGCGCATGTTGGAGAGCAGCCACAAAACCACTCAGCTATCGTGGCTAATAAATCCCCTATAAGATAATATTATGAATATAATTTAGTCAGTGATTGATAATTAATGAGGCTTACTAAAGCTCACAATTGTTAAATTTATAGCTAATCTGTTGAGTGCTACAAACGTTTTCACTCTATGATATACCTGCCACATGCAAAAGAGACCAAGGTGTCTAGCATACTAATCATGAGAAAAATTGCCTCAGTTTAAGTTGCTACACTCCATGAGCGTACAAATTTATATATATATATATACGGCAGCTAGTTTAGTTTAACCAGCTAGACCTAGTTGCATTTCCTAAAAGGGCTGTTATTCAGTTTATGGAAAAAATGATTAGTCCAGCTGTCATGACAGCCACTTAACATCGAAAAATTTAGTGACTTTTCTTTTCTTTTTACGAGTTTGACCACGGATTGATATCAGCTAGTGAACCATCGAAAACTAGGGAGTAATGAACAGCTGTTTCATCCTACTTTAGGAAACATCGGCATTACGCATCACTGGAGTTCGAACCCAGGACCTACCGGTTACAAGGTAAGCTCGTATAGCATTCAGCCACTGGGACCCGATTCAACGGCCAGTGCATGAATTCTAACTTCTACCAATTCGTGATTTAGCGCGACCACCAGTTAATGTCATCGGTGGGAAATCCATCCTCACACTTGACTGAGTGGACCTCACTGGTCATGACGTCACGCTAAATCACGAATTGGTAGAAGTTAGAATTCATGAACCATTGAATCGGATCACAGTGGCTGAATGGCATACAAGCTTTCCTTGTAACCGCAAGGTCCTGCGTTCGAACCCCAGTGGGTGCGTACTGCCGATGACTCCCAAAATAGAATGAAACAGCAGCTGTCCATTACTCCCTGGTTTTCAATGATTCTCTAACTGATATCAATTTGTGGTCAAGCTCGTAAAAAAAACTAATCCTCACAAACAAACTCTTGAAAACCTTCCTTATAGTTTTTTTGATCAGATGCTTCTGAAAACAAATACATTCATCTTGTATATGCTTTGTGTAAATCACCTAAATTGATTATTAAGTTCGGTAGACAGGACTGTTACAACACAGAAAACCTAGCTCTATCCTAGACGCTGAATATTAGTCTGTTCTATGCCTTACTGGAAACTAGCCCACTTAAGAAGCCATACAGTTCATATTTGATTTGATTTGATTATCTGTGAAGTGAAATAGCTATTTTATGGTAATAAACAACAGCACAGATTGATGTTATGCTTTGCAACGTTTTGCATCTGGATACCTCAGAAAGAAGTAGAAACTACTGAAGGCTTTTCGAGGACAATCAGTGATTTCATTAAAATATCACATGCGTTCACTTGTTGTTAGCCGATTGGTTAAGACAATGAAATCAGTGCAAATACCATTTTGTAAAAAAAAAGATCAAAGCAAAACCGATGTCACTTATGTCTATTATTAATAAAGCAGCATAGTGTATATAAGTGTCAGTATGCCACCTTCATAATCAATCTTCTATTGTTGTCGAAATGCAAAATAACTTTAATGGGAGCATGAAAGATCTCATCAAAATAGTCTTTATTGAACAGTCTTTTTAAATTTCACTGAGAGGTTCACACTTTAAAGTTGTATATTGTGTATAATATTTCTTTATAAAAATGTAACTGATACTTCGAAATGAACTCGTAAAACAAAATTAATTGCTATTATTCCGTTTTCACATTTCAGAATGTAATTATTTTTTATTTTATACAAAAAAAAATCAACCAACCAAAAATCAGACAGACAAGCAGATAAAGAAATTCAGAGTTGTATGGTGTTGTATCTCTGAAGTTAAAGTACAAAGTACATTCAATGCACCATACTCCAACCTTATTTTCGTTCGTTTTAATTAATCCACATAGCCTTGATGATAGAAAAGTAATAAAAGAAGGAATAGAAGGAGTAGAAGTATACAAATCTAGTGTACAACTGTAACTGAATATTGGTAGATGAAAATACTGAGCATTTATTCTGACTAACTTCTGTAATCATTGTAACCCCCACTCCCACAGTGGTGTGAATAATCAAAGTGATGTTAACTTTGAAATTTGCTACCTTATTCCCTAATTTACTGACTTTATTCAAAAAGTGAAGAGAGAGCTGTTTTTTTCTCTTTACTATTTGGCAAATTGACTTTTTCTGTAATAACTACGTCATCACTGTGTTTACCTTTTGTTTCGCTTTCATGTATACTCATTTTTGTTTTTAAATGAGAGATGTACTCATGTTTTTGACTGGATGTTTCATCTCTCTTTTTGTCTAAAGATTTAGATTAATTTGATATTTGATTGTTTATTCATCTGTTTGATTGTGCAGCCTTCACAGTTTGTTACTAACCCAATTATAATGTTTATTCACATGCACAAGTAAATACATCCATAAATTGTGGAGGTAAACAAACACATACACTGTAGCAATAAATTAAGTGTGATCTGTAGTATGAAAACTCTCTGGAGTCGGGGGGAAGGACGAAAGCACGTCGAAACCTTTTTTTCATTTCTTCGTGTGTGTGCAAATCAACTAATATTCTTCATTGAAAAATGAGAACAATGAAAATGTGTCTTGTTGACACGTCTATGACAAATAAATATTATTACTACTCTACTAATGTATCAATAACTTGATACAATAATTTGACCAGAACAAATTTTAAAAAAAACCAGGTCGAAAATCAACAAAGATGACAACTACAATAACAACAAAGATTATAAAGAATCTGTTGTATACTTTGTACTCAGTAAACTATACTGCATTACCAAACTGATAGAAAGCAATTTTCTATCTCTGTTAACTATTGATCAAAGATCGAATAAAGCTTTGATCAGAAACGTTTGAACAAAATAAAAATTACTGGCATTTAATCGCATACTTTTCTCTTAAAAACACTTTCCCCTTTTATGCTCTCTTAGTTCTCTCACTGGTCAACTACTCAACAGATCTCGATTGAATACGGTGCACAGTTATAAGAAGCGGTTAACCTAAAATGTAGGGATCTTAGTTTGTAGTTGTTATAGGATATTACCAGGTGTTTCGTATGAGACCGTCAAACTTAGCTACTAGAGTGAACCACAATGTCAAGCTACTTGGATGAATAAACACAATTTGAAGTTTTTCTTTTCAGTGAACCCTTTGTAACGCTGAAAGCACTACAGTGCAGTTATCTAGAACGTAGAGAATTTCAAGGGGATATGTTGGACTGTCTTAGCACTTTTAGATATGAATGCAGTAGAATTGACATTATTATTTAAAATAAAGCTTTCATGAAATAATGGTCAGTAGGTTCAATAGCAGTTAAGAATTAATAGAGTGGGTGAGTATTTTATCTAAATTCACGTTTAAACTGTCCAGTTCATCACCTGTTTATTATTACACACCACACCAATATGTCTTAAACAAGAGGAGTAGTATTTACTAAATCCAGTTACCAGCCACCGTTATCTCTGGATAAATAGAGCTGTGGCGATGTTCTTTCATAAAGCGTATATGCCAGATTGGTTTCAAAGATTCTGTCAGATAACTCAGTCATCATGTGGAAGAACTGATTTCGTTCACAAAGAGAAATGTTTCTTCAGCCTGAAAATAGATAAAATGTTTTACTGCACAATCACCTATGTCTTCATTTCCTCTAGTGTCACTTATTGATTAAGAAACAATGATACATCAAGCATGTGGTTAACACATTTAACAGCTTTTCGATCCACAGATTGAAACTACCTACACAAACGCTGTAACGATCAAATTAAACGCCTTTATATAAACATTATTTTAGGTACAGTCTGTGATTATTATTATTATTATTTTTACTATTTCCACTTTTATTGTTACTGTTGTTATTTCAGTTAATACAACATTTAAGTAACTTTTTGAATTAGATAAATATAGTGTGAACAAAAATATTGCAGCCTTTACTCACGAAAAAGTGAACACTATGCTAGAGGTGAAACAACATTTTCATTTGTACACATGGAAATGTTATAGGCATAATGTTTTAACATAAATATTGATAGTTTACGTGACATTTATATACTGTGCGTTGTCGACATGTTGTTTCAATTATCGTAAATGCCTCTCTCTCTCTCTCTCTATATATATATATATATATATATACATATATATATATATATATATATATTGACACTTGTGACAGCAGTGTTAGAAGCACACTTGTCGAATAGGATAGGAATATAAATCTGTGTGTCGCATGAAATGGAGAGTACTCAAAAATGTTTTTCAGACGACTTCAATGTTGGATATGAGTTAAAAAGTACTAAAGAAGTTCCTGTTACAAGAACAGAAACAGCAACGATAGCAACCACAAATACAACAACTAGTAATACTGCTACGTCAATTAATTCTAATCGTGTCATTTTAAATCCGACAAATAATCTTGCTTGTTTAAGTCAAGCAATTGTTGATATTGAACATGTTTTATACAAAAACTGTATTGAACTTAATCAGCATGAAGAAAAGTTAGTTGCGTTGCTGGAAAGATCAGAAGCTATGGAAAAGAACGTAAGTAATATATGTTGTGAATTTTTCTATTTGGTGTAAATGTATGTTATTTTGTGGAAGAATTAAACGTTTGTGTGAGGACAAATACTCGCCGATGTCATTGGCTAGTGGTCGCGCTATATCGTGAATTGGCAGAAGTTGGAATTCATGCTCCATTGGGTCGGATTCTACTGGATTATATGTCTACAAGCTCACCTTGTAACCAGTAGATCCTGGGTTTGAAACTCAGTGGGTGCATACTGGTGAGGATGAGACAGTTGTCCAGTTCTTCCATGTTTTCCAATGGTTCTCTAACCAATGTTAGTTCATGATGAAATCCTGTGACGTATCAGTTCAAATCCCTATAAACCAACACCTGGAAATTAAATGTACCTTAGTATTCGAAGAATAGTGTTTTAATGTACCTATGCTTAGAAAGAAATATCTATTTTTCTGTTTAAGTTTTATCAATTGATGACGTCACTGTTTGATTTCTGTGAGACACATGTCACAGGCGCATCCTGTGTTAAGTCCACTTATTGATCCTTCCTACAATAACATTTATTCGTCTACCTAAGGGATATCAGTTCATGTAAAAGCTAACTATTAGTTTGATAGTATAAGTACATACAGAATAAATGCAGAATCTTGAGTGTCCTAGTAATCCTTATCTAACTGTCCCTTCTTTATTCATGCACATCTTCATATTTAAGTCAGTACCTGCATTTCTTTGGTTCACCCTTTCTTTATAGAATGGGGTCACATGATCTACGCATTTGTATTTCTTGAGTCCTAAACTCTTGAAATAACGTGTTTAGATCATCACTTTTGCATTAACAGATGTCATATGTACGTGGAAAGTAATCTTAACAATTTCTACTGTTACTGTGAATAATAGTGGATAATCATTTAAAAAAGAATGGTAAGTATCAGTTTAGTCCAAAATCGATGTGGTAGTCCGTCCTATTTGAGACTCAACACTTGGAAGCACCTATTCTTCCACTGAGTTATGGTACACAGACTAAGTCTAGAATTCAACATGCACTAATTTAATGGTCAAAGCGTTATTCACTAGGCAAGCGGCTTACTATATCAACTTCTGTGCAACGGGTATCAGTTGTTGTACACCCTGGATTCCACTGTTGGTCAGTATCCACGAGATCACATCATCGAGTCATGCGTATTAAGATCGAACAGATTTTACGCACTTTAGTCTGAAATAAATCAGTCAACAGGAAATACAAAAATTAACTCAAACAAGTTTAACCGTATGTTTTGAAGCTAATTTCTTCCTTATGTTTAATTGCTTCAAAAATTAATTCGTTGAAATAAGTTGATGAAGTCAATATCAAGAATTACATCAAACGCTTTGAATGAAGGCTTTTGAATATCAGTATGAAATCATTGTATGCAAATACACATTTCTATGAAACTCATTAGCCTACACCGAAATTTATGTAAAGTAACTTTCAACCTTGAAGATACATACATCTGGGTGAAGAAGAGCGATTTTTCTGAATTTATCAAATATAAACATCTACTACTCCAATGAATTTCCAAAGGGTTCAAGTCCATCTGTACACCTGAGACAACCACTATAAGCAATACTACAATTAATAACAACGTATCGTCAAAAATACATTACACAGCAATAGGTTAACTCGTAATGAGTACTGACTCTTTTATTATAACCACTGAAACGAACTAGATAAGTTCATTTGGGACTTCTGGAATTCATCAGAATAAAGAATCACAACATAGAGAGTATGTGTGTATGTGTGGAGACTCCATTCATTTTTGTATCCTAAGGAATATGAATTTCTGGTCGTTGTAAACCAGAATGTCATAATATTCTCACTTGGGTTATGATTCAATTTTATAGTATTATTTCCAGTACTATGAAAAGTTAATACTGTGTTATAAAATGTACCTTTTTGGTGATAAATTTAAATCAGTCTTCAACGAATGCTCCAATTTCACATGCTTAATAGAATCCATAATTGCAACCAGTATTGTCTGCAGTCTGAGCTGTTGCTGGAGAAAATTGGAAAGTCGGCTATTCTCAGTTAATGCTGAACAACTGAGTCGGTTGTTTAGATTCAGCTGGTGAAAAATATCACCTACTGCATCAAATTATGAGCCGTTTTCACAAGATATATTTGTATATATAATGCGTATATTATCGTTAGGTAGTTAGAGGCAATCGACAAAAAGCCTTGGACCTATTTTTCGTATTTATTGACACTCGTCAACAAGGCGTATCTGCAGCCTTGAAAAACTCATGCTCCTCCTGGGATTCGAACCCTACTCACCCAGTGCTTCAGCCGCAGACGTTACCGCTGAGTTATTTGGGATCGCGATTGGTCTTCTGTAGGACTGTATTAGATAGTTTGACTGGACCGTGCACCGTGATTGTGAGCCACCTAGAACGATGGCCACATTGGAAACCTGACTGATAGATTTCAGTCTGCACCAAACAGAGCACTGGACACATTATACTAGTTACTAAGCAGTGTCCAATCAAAATAATCCATGTATATCAGTCAGCCACAGAAGTAGATGAAAACTCAGTAACTACTACCATTTGATACTAAAATTTCAGAATAGGAGAAATTCATAAATGAGTTAATACACTTAGTAAATAATTAAGTACACTATTGTTAACTGCATGGAAAACAGCTCTCAGGAAAAATTCACTTTCACATCGAAATGGTAGAATACACTTATTTGAATGCTGAAAAACATCGAAAAAACGTTGGTTGTCATATTGACTTTTATTATTAATGAAGTAATTGATTGTAGACATGAATTATAGTCGCATGAGTTAATCATTAGAAGATAACTGATTTAGGTGTCAACTTTTTGGTGATGACGCAAGGTGCTCTCCATTCTGTAAGAATAATTTGTTGATTAAGTGACTCAACATTACAATTTACTATACTCTTTGCAACACACTAGGAATCGACTGACAGAAAGCATCATCCCTACTTCATTTGTAGGCTGTGACTTATTGTGCGTCGGTGGCACAGTGGTTTGGACGCTCGTCGACCATAGAATTGGTCCGGGGTTTGATTCCCAGCCGACGCACACCTGATATCAGTGGTCAGCCTGCTAAATTTGGGCTACCGCTATCACATGCTGGAAATTCCATACTTGTACCAAAGTATTGTGTGGAATCATGCAATAAAAAAATTTAAAATGAAGGAAATTAATTATTCAGTGCTATAAACATTTTTGAATTTCAGGAGAAGGATGAATATTTTCGGAGTTTTAGGCACCTATCATTAAACACTGGTTCTGACTGAATCACAACTTTATTTCTACAGCAAACAGACTTCATCGACGGACACCGTAAAGCATCGAAAAAGACGTCAGTATTTCTAATTATGAGTTAACATTGAAAGCCAGTAGATGATTACACTTACCACCATTGTAGAAAACACTAATTTTCGGCAAACATTTATCGTTACAATGGCATTTAGTTTCACCTCTTGTCAATCCACTAGACTCACAGTTGCCTGGAATGGGAAAGACCTTTCAGTTTACATTGACAAGAATAGAAGCCTGGATTTTCAACGCGGCTGAAGACTTAAAAAGCCACCACAGATTATCACTGACTACAAATAAAGGCGTCACTATATTTGTTACAAAAGACGAAAGCGTACCTGTTGTATGATAGTAGATGTTTAGGTGATGAGGCATATTAGACTCATTCATTCCTTGCATTACAACTGGGACATTGGGCTTCAGCAACTGATATTCACTTTACATGAACCTATACGATCACTTTCAGCTGGAACCACAAGTATCCACAGATTTTAATTCATATGACACTCGAACTCACAAACCGTAGCTTCCTATTTAAGTACCACAAGAGGAATGGAATGCGACGTTTCTTGTATGTCTCTTAAGAGTTCTTACAAATCATCTCCATTTCCTTCTGCATATTTGTTTGGCAGTGTTTTCTTAAGGAAAAACACATTTTTTTGTTTAGTGAAGAAGTATCTCTTTTCAATGACCTCTTTTTCAAGCTGTATATTAAGTGGCACTAGAAATTGCTCAGTCAGTATACAAACGATAAGAAAAAGAGATAATTACAATGATGTACTGAGGGGGTAGAGTTGAAATGCATGAATTACAAAACTTTTAAAGATTATTAAATAAGTGAACTGGTATAAAGATTTGAAAACTGTAGGTTAGATGTTGTTGTACGATGATGATAACAATAAAGACGGCAAGGGTGAAGTGAAGTGGAATAAATTCAAGTGGTAAAATAGAATAAAATACAAGAACATTATTATGACCAAGGTAAAGAAAGGGGTTTGACAAAACGTTTTTGAATAAATAATTTGGGTTTTTATCCATGTATAGCTAGAGCTTTGGCTATGCATAAGTGTAGAAAACGTAAGCTTTTGGAGTGATTGGAGTGGTTCCTTTTTTCCCTGGACCCAGCATTTAAGACATCTTCTAGTCTTTCCTGGATAATGTGGCTTAATATTCTGCTTGGAATGGACAGAAGCACAATATCGCACCAGTTCTTGCATTGCCTTAAGTTGCCCCTCATTGAGAGTTTTATAAGGCAGGTATTCTTATGTACAACAGGTAATTTTTGACCATCAAAATCACTTCGAAGTGGTGCCATACGTTGTGGCCGTTTTCAGTGCTTTTGGGCGAATTCCATTTGGTCCTGCTGCTTCCCCAAGGTTTCATTAACTTTATGAACTTCAAGATTAATCTTGTTGTAGAATGGTTTGTATTCTCAAATATAACGAAGACTTTCTATGTTCCCATGTCTACTTTTGCTTTCATCTATTGAAAACATATCGGTCATCTGGTTTTCCGAAAGCTATCGGACGCCATCATCATATGTCCTTGAACTGAATTATCCTGGTTCCAGCAGAGATGAGGTTGCTAGATCTACCCCCAATCCTCCCTATTTATCGAACTTCGAATCTGCTTGTAAACAAGCTGCACTCTTATGAAAGTTCAGGCAGTTCAACATGAAACAATACATGAGAAGT